AGAGTCCATCACCAGGGTAAAAATAGCTGTATGCTGCACACTGCTGCGTGTGTGTGTGTGTGTGTTTTCTCTATCTGTACTGCGCACTGACTGTGATCGCCGCCTGGTGGGGGCACTAAGACACAGCTTAGTAGAATGGAGTATTTCTTTAAAAAGAAAATAAGGAACACAAAGCCCTTTGGACAATTAATAAATATGCCAATAAATGCAACTAAAGCAAGGCAAAAGTATTTATGAAATAATCAGTCACATAATGTAAAATAAATATTGGCCGAAAAGAATACTATATATAGTGCAGCAGGCGAGTTTCTTAACTTTATCAATAATAGAAAACACAACCAAATCCATCCTTTTTATACAAGCAGATTTTATAAACTCTGTGAAGGGAAGGCTGTAACTTCAACAAGTACAAAACATGAACTCTTATGGCACAGTTAAGTGTGGAAATAACTTGTAGAAACCTACTAAGACTAGTTCTGTAATAAACCCTGAGATAGATAAACCGTTTACCTTATTTGTGAATAAAAAAAACAACAAAACACCTTGATTAAATTTCTTCTCTAACGGTCCAGTACTACTGACAGCACCTGAGCCTGGAAACCATTTGGTATGTAATGTCTGATGACAATGCAGTCATGCCATCCAGAATCAAATATCAACTGCAGACGTAAAGAAAGAAACCCATCCTACCTCTAAGGCTAAGAGTAAGGACATTATATTATTTATCACACTGACAATCTACAACAAGGGTTGTCTATGTAACTTAACTTCTATCCATCCATCCATTATCAATACCGCTTATTCCCTGATGGGGTCGCGGGGGGAACTGGAGCCTATCCCAGTGGTCAACGGGCGAGAGGCAGGGTCACCCTGGACAGTCCCCAGTCCATCACAGGGACACACAGAGACACACAAGGACAAACAACCACTCACACTCACATTCACTCCTAAGGGCAATTTCCCCAATCTCCAATCAACCTAACATGCAGGTTTTTGGAGGGTGGGAGGAAGCCGGAGAACCCGGAGAGAACCCACAGAAACAGGAGAACATGCAGACTCCACCCAGAAAGGTCCTGGTTCCCCCGGGATTCGAACCCAGAACCCTCTTGCTGGGAGGCGACAGTGCTAACCACCACACCACCGTGCCGCCTGTAACCTAACTTCTAAAAGCGAAAACAAGACAGACCATCTGACAAAAGCTGCATTTAAGCTTCCAGATTGTTCTCCGTGAGTCGGGGGAAGAGGAAAAATAAAAACGAATCGTGCTTACCCTCACAGTTCTTGCCATCGGCGGCGAGGGAGAAGCCGGCGGTGCATGAGCAGTAGTAGGAGCCCGGCGTGTTTTCACAGGTCTGGGCACACACTCTGCCAGGATAGCGCCAGCACTCGTTCACATCTGTCAGCAGAGGAGGAGGAATTATCCGACAGCACACATACGCGCCACAAAACACCGGGCAGGACGCAACGCTAGGCACAATACCGTTCATTTTTTCAAAATACATATCTCTGTATAAGAATCCCACTGATGTAATAAATTAGATCTGACTAATCAAATCATTTCTTAAAATGGCAGCTGGTTCACTGGGTTGTTCACAGTTTTGATTACCCATCTTACTTTTAAGAATTGTATAAATACATGTAAATATATATAAATGAAATATACATGCACAAACATGCAATCATATTTTGCACATTTTAAATGCATCATTATCTAATCTATTTTCACTACGTCTTAGACAATATTTACGCTAGTTACTAGTTTAGTTGGTCTTTTATTGTTTGTTTATGCATGTATTAGTCGCTTTTATCCAAAGCGACTTAAAAGTAGCATATATACTCACTCACCACACTCACCCACTCACCAATGTGGAAACTTATTTAAACAGTTTTAGTTAGTGTCAATTCAATGTTAATATAATGGACACCTTCATAACACTTCATAGTTTAATTCCCTTATGAGGAGCACCTTGATCTGTAACATTATCCTTAGTTAGTCATAGTGACAGATTCATTTGCTTCTTTATGAAACCAATCTTACATCTATCATAGAGTATACTTGCAAAATACATTAAAAAAACATAATGAGTAAAATGTATTTTCAATTACAAATTATTATTGATTTAAAGAACAGGTGACACAGTATTTCAATTTTGTTATTACTGCTTGACAGAAATGATCTAATCTAGTTCAATAACTTTATTCATCATAACTACAAAAGAATACATGATTAAACCTTCCATCTGCTCAACATCAACAGACCAGAGTCAGGAAAAGCCTACCGTTGCAGGCTTTTCGGAGGGCATCGAACTGGTACCCTGTCTGGCAGTCACAGCGGAAGCTTCCAGGAGTGTTGTGACAGATCTGGCCCCGCCCACAGCGGTGCGTCCCCATCTGACACTCATCCATGTCTGGAAACACAAAGATAAAACCTCACAGTTGTGCTTCAGCATGTATCTGAGAACACCAATAATAGCTCAACTCATAAAGATGTTTTACAATGTGTAATCTACTAATTTAACAGCCTCCATGATTTTGATCAGGAAACGCCGGCTATTCAATGAGCCCCATATATGTTTTCATGTATTAATTATATCCACAGAGACCTTATTTGTGTTGCCCTTTCAGAACCCGTCTATTTATTTTTCATTAGTGAGTCGGCTAAAACCCTTTTCCCATGTGGTTGACCCTAATTTGGCCCCAACTTAGATACTCATTATGTTCCATACACAATTAGCAGTCATCACACGAGCAGAATCAATGTGGGATTTCATCACTTAGAAATACTGAAACCAACAGACAATTCCCTTAAAGTCCTATGTTTCCGTGCCTATAGTATTTAAGCACAAAGAACCACTGTAGGCTGGAAACAAAGGGCTGATTAATATGTGTAATTTACAGTTACAGTCATTTATGTGAGCAGATACACACTTATATGTTGAGTATGAAGTAGATATTCAGACAGCGAGCATCTGGGTGTAAGTCATACGTGGGAAACTGGGGAACTCTTGTACTACATTACAATCAGTTGTTATCATAATGAGCTGGATACAGCTGCCGATGAATTGATTTGTTAGTACTCAAAAGATGAAGTCAGCTTCTAAATAATGACACAAAATTAACGGAAAAGAGTATATTCCTGAGTTGTTTTTTTGCTGTATTTGATTTGAAAAAATATTTCGACTTGTTTTACAGTCAAAATATTAAGGTGTCAACAACAATAATATTCATTATTTTTCTTAAATTATTTGTTTAACTCCTGGAGAGAATAGTGAGGATTCAGTGCTTTTAACTGTATGTAATTATATTAGAGCTTCCATAATGCTTTGCTCCTGTATCAATGCTGCAGGTGTAAGCGGTAAAAAAAAAACCTACCGACACACTCGTGTCCATCAGGGCTGGCGCGGTAACCACGATTGCAGGTTATTATCTTCTGCTGACACGAGTAGGAGCCCACTGTGTTAATGCAGTTCAGACCCGGGCTGCAGGGCACACTCAGGCTGCTGCACTCATTTATGTCTGTGGAATCACAGACACACAAAGTCCGGTCTAGTAGTGATGACCGGTGGGTGGATAATCCTGACTGACAGGCCAAACTGTTTCTTTACCATCATTTCAACAGAACAGTTCATATTTAACTGTTCACCAATTAAACATCACAGTTGTGCCAGACAAGTCTAAAGTAGTTCACGTGTTTTTTGTAATTCTCCTGTCTAAAGTTTATAAGACTGCAGCTGATTATACACACTGGTTTCATACACACACACTCAAACCAGAACTCACATTAGAATAGATTGTGGTTTCCTTGATTCCAAGAGAATCACCAGCTTATTTACCCATTGAAAAACATTAAGTGACAACTCACAATGGCAAAATTATTTTTTGTGGTATAAACACAGAAGGTTCTGTGCAACTAACCAAGAGGCATGTAAATGATAGACACAAAACCTAAAAAAACAGGAACATTTACGCGGAAGATCTTTAGACCATTTACCATAGAAAAAAAGGACGGCTAAATATTACTTTGAATTTTTTTATTTGGAGTAATAGCAACCAGAAAAAATGCTTTTTTGAAAACAGTGAGAAATTAAAAAACAAAAAAGGTCATATCTCGTGCTTGACTTCATCATATACCTAAAGTTCATTTTAGAACATATTTCTGTTTGTATGCTGTCGGCACCTTTGAGCCTAACCTTGGAAAAAGAACGATAGCAAAATGTTTTTATTTGGGGATTTTATATCCATCTGATCCAAATTGGCTGCCACATTTAGTTGTGAATAATGGGAACATGGGAGACAATGGGAGCAGTCCAGCGGTTATTTTTAGTATCTCCATTTGAGCATTTTGCAGTGGTCATAACAGAGATTAATTCAGTAGTATGAATGTGATTATATGCCTCCAGTAGTAAACCAATAAGGGTCATCTTAAGGCCCTGTTTGGCTGGATCCTCAACCTTTTTCATGTTTATTGAAAGATTTGGGCCATGTTATTCTTCTTTATGCTGATTCAAATGAATGATTCATAAGCCAACTGTAAAGTTGTCAATAACAGACAGGAGGAACACTTAAACGGAGACAAAAGTGTACAAGTGAAGAGGATATATGTGTTAAAGTTAAGGTAAGTGGGTTAATCATTTTCTTCTCTATCTTACTTAGAAAACATTTCAAATGTTGAAAGTAACATGAGAAAAAGCTGGAAAAGTCTGTGTTAATTGGGCGATTGATTGTGGTTTTCTTTTTATCAGACATTTGTTCAAATGCCGTTTTTCCAATGCTCTAAGGATGTATTTGTGCTTTTGGAATTGTTTACTTGTGATTGTGCTGTGGAAAGACACAATCAATGCTGAAAGGTATGGACAAGTCTTACAACATTTGTGTAATTATGAACGGAATATTATGTATGTTTTAACAACATCTCTTAAGAACTTCAGGTCTTCATTGTCCAGTCAGAGTATTGTAGTGGCTTACTTAAAAATTTCAACAACTGTAAACATTTTGTGCATCTTGAAATACAAAAGAAAGAAAAGAAAACCTAGGTCTGCAACAGATTTTTTGCTATTTCAGTGTGGCAGTCAAACATTGGCATAAATAATCTCAAAGGAGTGTTGTGTAAAAGAACATGAAACAAAAAATCCCAAATTGGATAAAAAGTCTCAGGAACCAGGCCCAATGACACACATTTCTAAAGATTATTCTTTCATTCTCTATTATGACTTTAATGGTTGCATCACTTTTCCTCGATGGATAAAGCGGTGTCACTTACCAACACAGTTGCCATGAGAGTCCTGTGTGAAGCCGCTGATGCACTTGTGTTTGGATTTACAGAGGAAAGAGCCAGCTATGTTCTCACACACATAGCCCTCACCGCAGTCATGAGCCCTCATCATGCACTCATCAATGTCTGCAAAGTAGAAATAGGATAAATAGAGGTTTAACTAACATCTTGCTAAACCAAAATGATGACTTTGTGCCACTGGAGGACCTCAATCTTCTGTCAGCTCTCTCAGTTTCAGCCGTAGTTGCAGTGTGCAAACTGGACATAAGGTGGCCCTGTTGCTCAAGCACAATATAACACCAGGAAGCTTCCCACAGATATAATCATGCACCATTCCAATCCTTAACTGGAGGAAAAATTCTAATAAAAGCATCATATGACCATCCAGCTTTGCAATTAACAAAAGCTGAGAAAACTTTTCTAAATGACAGTTATTGGATGTGGTGAACGATGGACGGGGTTTAAATTGAGTGCCTGGAGCCCCTTCTCTCAGGAGTTCATGTTATGCTCCTTCCTTTAAGCGAAGGGACTTAATTTGTTTTTTTTTTCTTTTTACCGTTGGAGGGTTGAGTTCTCTGTGTCACAGCAGAGACCGCTCCTCTGCTTTCATGCAGCTAATTAGTTTTTCCCCCTTTGGATGGTCGACTAAATACTACCCTCATTATCTAGCTCCATTGATTAGTCTTCTTGGTGCCAATTGCTGATGACACAAGTGTGGGAGCTTCAAAGTGCTCCACTGCCTGTGCGATGGTGCCTTGTTGAGTGATTATCTCGTCACATACGGAACGCTGACATCTGCACGGGCACAAGAATTCTGACCAGGGCCAGAAAAACAATAACATATGAAAAAATAAAGCTTTATGGGAAGAGATTGAGACATGACCACATATGAACGTCAGAAATGTCTACGAGGAACACATTTGTAGGAATTTTAATTCTATTAAAGTTTTTGAGTCAGTAATTTTGTAAATGAGCAATGCGTTTTTATGTTCCTATAATGAAATAACTTATAAGTTATAGAAAATACAGTCTTAACTGCTAACACCTTAGTAGTTAAGCAAATCTCAAATTACATTGGATGTTTAAAATCCTATTTGACTAATCAATGATGTTATGTTGAACTAATTCTATACCAATGTGCATCCATACTTTACACTTCTAATATTCTATTTTAAAAAATCCATACATTTTCTCTATCCCTTATTCCCAGTAGGGTTGCATGGGGGCTGGAGCCTATCCAGTGCTGTCATTGGGTGAGCAGCAGGGTAAGCCTTGGACAGGCAGTCTGTCCATCACATAGTTACACAGAGACAAACAACCACACACTCACATTCCTACAGCTAATTTAGAGTCAACAATTCATCTAAAATTCATGTTTTTCAACGGCGAAAGAAGCCGAACTGCTTGTTTTCCCAGCTAAACCAAATATACGCCCCAGTATTTGGAACTAAACTGAATTTCTATGTCTCGCTCCATCAAAGGCAGCTAGAAACGAGTGTCCCGATGTATGACCATCTGACCTTTAGAGATCATGTTGCTTCTGAAGCCTGATCGTGTTGCTTTGCAATATTGAACAAAAGAATATCAGGCTGTCCCTAACCCAACACGCCGCCCACTGGAGCACCCTGAGAAAACCCACACATACACGTGGAGAACATGCAAACTCCACGCACGGTGCCCCGTCCTCAAATTCAAACTGGGAGGCGATGGTGTTAATAACAAGCACACTACCGGACAGCTCCCTACAGAAAAATTTAATGTCAACTGACAGTTTTGGGCTCATCCTTCATTTTCTCTAAATCAAAGTTTATGGTTGTTTTGTAAGTTCTCTTTTTTTATGGAAGTACTGCAAATATTTGTTTTTCTTATCTTGAATAAATCTTACATAAAATAATGAGGAGGACCACATTGTCATTTCTACTGACTGCTTTTTAGACTCTAGCACAGAAGTTTAAGTAGACTGGCTAAATAGATCAAGACCAGTGAACTCACCTTGGCAAATAGTGTTTTTCAGTTGGTAGCCTGCAGGACAAGTGACCTGTGGTCTGCATACAAAAGAACCCACCGTGTTCACACACCGGTCACTGGGCCGGCACCTGTGGGTGTTGCTCACGCACTCATCCACATCTGCAGAAGACAGAGACTCTGTGTCAGGGGCTGGGGGGTGACCTGTATGAACTTCTACCCTCGTGTTCCCGTTCTCTGACTGTTATAAGGATGCTGGCAGTAAGTCAGCAGGAGATCAGCTAATATAATAAACTAAAGACAAGTCAAGTAGTTCCTACACTGTCAGAGAGATGAGAGGAAAATAGCTTTTTAATTTTTCCTGCAGGTACATCACCTGGATAAAAAACTAATTAATTCATAGTATTATCTAATCATATTCGATAAATGAAGGAAGAAGTATTTTCAAGGTCTGTCAGAATTACTCTTACACTCTGAAAGATAAACAGTGAGTGAATCAACATAGACTCAGACACCAAATGCTGGGGTTAGTTGATTGCAGACCAGTTAAGTTGAGGTGTTTAATATTAAAACTAAATCAATATTTTTCATAAAAGCAATCCTTGTAAAAGCTATTTCTAATGTGAATGTGGCGGTTAATGAAAACCCCATGTTGAGCAATCACTTGAAACTTTAAACCAAGTGTTTTACAGCATTCTATTGCGTTTCCCATCACAGCTTTTGTCTTTCGGCCTGCAGCTTTGTCTTAATTCTGTTTCAGAGATCTCATTGATTTTTTGTCCAGGCTGTTTAAGTTCTTTTTCCTGGAAAGAAACAAATCTACCCGCTACACTGACCTTTCCTACTTCAGACAGTTTAAGATAGATGTCATCACCTGTTGTGCTTAACTCTAGTTTTACACGGCCTCAGACACATCTTAATGTTGTCCCACTAACAGATTTAGCTCATCTTGTTTTGCTTTTTTCAAAGTAGACTAAGTTCAAGGCAAGGTTTCTCTTTTGGTATGGTCTCTTGGAAAACCTATCTTTCTTTGTTCTACATAATCAAAGGCAGCAGGGCCTTTAAACTGTTGTCCTTGTGGTGTGTGAGAAAATACTGTCCACAATTCTGCCTTCTCATCACCTAAGTATAACCAACATTAGTGCACAAATGCTGTCTTCAAATTATCTGGATGAAAAAAAATATTAAGACCATGGTGTCATTTAAAAGTGAGTTTATTCATTCCTAGTTAATACTATTTTTTCAATTAAATGAGGAAGTATCTGTAGTGCCCAATTAGTTCTCGCAGCTATAGGTTTCCAAATTTCAAGTAATTCATTTCATGAATCTGTTATTGATCATGGATGGTAGTGACAACGTTAGCTTGTAAACCTGTTTAACGAATTAAGAGTGATAAAACCTTTTTCTGAAACTGTTACGATGGAAGGCTGAAAGCTAAACAGATGACAGTTTTAAATAGATGCAAATGTCTTTTTAATTTTTGCATGAACGTTGCTAAGCATGCAACTTCTTTTACCTTATTAGACAATAAGTAAATCAAAAACATACTGCAATGTGTACAGTCCAAACTGACATGATGTCATTATTTACGTTTAGATGAGGCAGGTATCAATGCTGTAACTAAAGATGCTGAAAGCCTAATTATATTCAGACACAACATAACAGTCAGCATCAACCTAAGAATAAACTAGAGATGGAAATCACTAGAAAGAATCTGTTAGAGGCAACAGTGGCGACAATGAGGAGATAGAGGAAATTACAGAAAGACCGGTTACTCTTGCATGCAAAATTGAAAAAACATTTACATCTATTTAAAACTGTAATCTGTTTAGTTTGACTGTGCTTTTAGCTCTACTTATTAGCACTTTCAGAGAAAGATGTCCCTCTCTTTGTGGTTAAGAGGTACCTAATTAGGGTTTATTTTTCCTTTTCCAAAGCCGACCATTATTGCAAATCTATTTGTAATGGCTAAAAGTAAAGAAACACTTGCATTGCATTACTTTTATTTCAAATGAAGCATCTTTCCAAATGAAGAATGCTGTAAACTATAACGATCAATCTTTGTTATTGAAAAGCATAAAATTATGCAAAAACAAAAGATACTTTGTTTCAGATGGATAATCCAGATTTATTTTTTGTCCTACTGATAACTGCTTGATCCTCCTAGACTATGCTGTTTGGTTGGCATTTAACTCTGGACAAGTGACTTCTGTGCAAATCCAAAGGCAGATTTTAGATATCACGCCTCGGAAAGTTCTGTGAAAATGTTGCTCATTAACTATGTTTGTGTGAAACAAAACACACAGTTCCAAATGCTTTTTTCCCCCCTTAAATCAGTCAAACAGAACCACGGTAGGTAAACAGGTGCTGTTGGTTTATGGCACTGGGGAGCTCATGCTGAAACCCGGAGCTATAGTCTCTAAATTCTGCATTCTCTTATCACGAGTGAATGATTTGCTGAAAATGCAGATATGATCCCTGTCCAGGACAGGGATCATTTTATGGCATCCATCCAGATTTGAAGATCAGTCTAAAATACGGCACAGGGAACTGCAGACTGTAATCGTTGTTCTGGCACTGTGTCTGTTGGTTATCCATCTCTGAAGTGTGTTCCATAACATTGAAAACTTTTGCTCTTGCAAATGTGTGCTTGCAACGGTTTCCCACAGGGAGGCTTCAGTGCACAGCTGCAGAACCCCTAACACTCAGCTACTCGTCCTGTGAGTTGATATTAAATAAATGCTCCTCTATCTGGACAGAGCAAACGTGCACTGTGATATCTGAAGCCTCTGTGGGGCTGCAGCAAATACACTCATCTTATCAGTGAGTTAACAATCATCCTCTGTCCACAGGATATGTGCCGCACAAGCCGTGAAGTCACACAAAAACTTTCTTTTAGAGCTTCATTTTTTTCCAGGCTGAGAAACATCTGTTATCTACATTTTAGGAAGTCACACGGAGTCCCATGGGCTCGGCTTTGCTTCAGGCCCAGGGATGGACAGAACTTTTTCCAATGTTTTCGTGTTGTCAGTGTTGCAGAAACTCCGGCCCCTTTCATCAAAGCTCAAAGACTTTGAGCAAAAGAGATAAAGAGTATATTGCCTTGATCCCGTAGTAATCCCGAACCTGTGCAAGACCACAGTGGTTATGCCAGCTCTTCACTCCACAGATGCTTTTCAACAAAGATTATCGTTGATTTTCCTTAAGTTTTTTAACTGACACTATGTCCTCTGGACTGTAGAGGGACCATCTTCTTACTAGCACTCATTTCAAAATGCAATGTATGAAGGCAAGAGGATATATTATTGTAAATTCTTCCACATCTGCAAAGGCACCATTAGTAATGAAAGGTATAGACCGATTTTTTTAGCCTCCATCCATCCATTGACTTTGTAACGACACTTACTAATGATAAATCACAACAAAGAGGGAAATGTTTTTTTTCTTTTGACATGCAGGAAATAAAATGAATCTGGTATTATTTGCTCTTGACAGCCGATTGATAAACTTTCCGTTAAAAAGGATCAACTACTAAACATTTGTTGTGATATACAAGGTACTGGGGGAATAATCGAGCATCATCTGATGCACAGACAAGGAAACTGCCAAGGAAACTGAGTACAGAATTTTTCAAATCTGAAAAACCAAAAGAACAAATATTGCTTTTGTGATCAAGAGGACACAATATAAAGGAATATTGCATCATCTGCGAGGTGATCTAGAGTTTGTTTGTTTCCCTGAGTAGCAGAGGGTTCTAATCGCGTACTCTGTCTTACTCCTACAGTCCAGTAAATGTACATGGTATTAACCTAATGAGAGTGATTGGGAGCTTGCATGTTTGTTTGTTTTTTTCTACCTTGTCCTGTTCAGTATTATGGCAGCAGAACTGAAATTTGAGTACCCTTTTATGCTGAACAAAACTGCTTTGCCAAGGGAGGCTTTGTTAGTGAGAAGCACCCCTTGATTACCCAAAACTGCTTTATTTATTTATTTTGTTACGAAACATACATGTGTCCAATAATGCCGAACCTGACAGAGGGACAGGGAAGAGAGAAAAGCAGTGGAAAGGAGAGAGATCCTTTGGACAGAGACAGAAAGTGAAAAAAATACAAATAAAGGAAAAAAAAGAAGGAAAGACAACGAAACCATACAACCAGCTCCTATGTCTGTAAAAAAGAAACTGTTCCTTGTGGTTACTTGTCTAATTGTCTAATCTCCATGTGGACATGCCTCTTCCCCAAAGACTGCTGGGATGTGAACCTGACTTGGACCAAGTGGGTATACAAAAAGGATGGATGGATAAAGGAAACTGATTATATAAGATATTCATTAAATATTGCAAAGTAGTCAATATTCCATCATCAAATTGACTTTCCGTCACCTTCAAAACCCTGAAAGACTCCCAGCATTCCTGAACAAAGAAGTAGATATGAAAATATGTTCAAAATGCTACGTTAAAGGTTATTTGAATAATTGCAGTAGCTGCAATATTAGGCAAATTTAGGGGTCAAAGGATAACTAAAGACATATTAAAATAAATACACCGTCACTTGAACACACAAAAAATGACACCCTGATAGCTCATTAAGAAATAATAAATAACGATAGAGTATGAACAAAATTGTAATTAATGGTTAAGACACACTATGACATCTGGCTTTTTGAAACAAGCTGAGAGGAAGACCGTTAAATCATGCATTAAGCTTCATCAACACTGAGTTAGTTGACCTTTTTGACAAGAGATTCTCAAGGTTGACATTTTCAGCAATGTGATGATAACTGATCAAGAATGACTCTATTACACCTTAAAAAAAGAAAAAAAGACATTATTGTATGCTGAGCGTTTTTGTGTTTTCATTTGAAGAATTCAGCAATAAAGGGAAAATCACACCGAGCCTGCGTTGGACCACAATCTGTTTGACAGGGTGGATCCGAATTTCTCAAAAACCTGCGGTGGATCAGTGTTGATTTATTCTGCAAAGGTTGGGGGAGCAAAATCACATCTCCTTTCAACAATTCCAGTCATGTACATCATGTTTAATATGTTAACAATTCAACCACAGAGATCATCACACCCTGATTTGCATTTTATGGGAGTGTCTTATCAAATATTTTTTTAATGAGGAATGCAAAGCAAATGCAACACTGCTAATGCTTTGTTT